TAGACCTACAGATCGAACCCCTGCTGTCTATGGACCTACGACAGGTCTACCAACTGCCTACGAATACACAGGTCACAGGTTCAATTCTCGGGGTCTACACAGATACTGTACATGGGTAGGGTGAGGTCTAGGGATCGAACCCTGGGTACTGCATCCGCTACTGCTAAAAGGTGAAAACCGTTTCATTTTATGGACAGTCCATGGCCTCCACATTTTTAGGAGAGGCTCTATCTTCTTTTTTTTTTTGGATGTACTGGTGGTTTAAATCTACCTTCAATCACGTCCTTCGGGACATCCGTTAAAATTGGAACGATACAGAGAAGATTAGCATGGCCCCTGCGCAAGTAAGGATGACACGCATAAATCGAGAAATGGTCCAAATTAAAAAAAATAAAAAAATCTACCTTCAATCTGATGGCAATCTGGCAAATAAAAATATGATTAAAAGGATTAAAAAGTCTCATTACCCCTGGTTCAGTCCTGAGACCCAGTACCAGGTCCAAGTCCCGAGTCAAAGGTCCCAGTACCGAGTCCCAGTACCGAGTCCCAGCCCCGGGTCGTACCGAGTCCCAGATCCTAGTCCCAAGTCCCATTCCGTGTTCCATTAGTGGCCCAGACACTTGTGCAATATTTACGAATAGTCTCATAATTTTGGTTTGTACCATGATTGCAGAGTCCTAGGCAGGTCTTTTTTTTTTTCTTTTTTTTCTTTTTTTCTTTTTTTGCAGTTCTATTTTTAGTAGATACAGGTTAGTAGATACACGGGCTTCTACCTAGGCTTCTGAATAGGCCTACCACAAATACTCTCGTAGTTTTTGTTAAGTAGATCCTGGTAGTAGGAAGTCCCTGATAGATGAACAGTTAGGGGTTGAAGAGTCTATTTTTAGAAGGTACCACGAGCTTCAGCCAAGATCACAAGAGTCATTAGGCCAGGTGTCAGTCCATCAAACCAAGCAGCCAGATCCAAGGAGAATCTGTAAGCAGCAAACCAAGGCAAGGGGACCAACCCATAACAGCAGAAGATGTCCAGAAGGGAAATCAGCAAGTATAAAAGCCTGGCACCACCTGTACGTCCATACGATATGCTTCGCACGCAATGTGGAAGCGCTGCTGCAGTTTGGTGCATCGGAGAGGCGACTGAGCATTGCCAAGTGAGAGTGAGTACAGAACAGTGTAATCAATGGTGCTGGGGACCATAGCCTTAGCTGACGTATGAGAGAGAGAGAGAGAGAGAGAGAGAGAGAGAGAGAGAGAGAGAGAGAGAGAGAGAGGAAGGATACATTAGGAGAGACGAGTGAAGCCTGTGAGAGTGAGAGCAGAGAGAGAGAGAGAGAGAGAGAGAGAGAGAGAGAGAGAGAGAGAGAAGACACTAGGAGAGACGAGTGAAGCCTGTGAGAGAGAGAGAGAGAAGACACTAGGAGAGACGAGTGAAGCCTGTGTGTGTGTGTGAGAGAGAGAGAGAGAGAGAGAAATGTACCTGCATGCTGAGTTGAATGGCCATAGCCGCTGGTGCCAGAATGCTGAGTTGAATGGCCATAGCCGCTGGTGCCAGAGAAGACGACCAAGTTTCGTGTTCACTATTGAGGCTCTCTTGGACTTCTGTGTGTCTCACGCGAGTGCGGTGTGATGCAGAATTAAAAACAAAAGAAAAGAAGAACAAAAGTGAAAGCTGGCAAAAACAGGCGAGGGAAAAAAAAAAAAAAAAAAAAAAAAAAAAAAAAAAAAAAAAAAAAAAAAAAAACCCACAGAAAAAGAAAATTGTGGAACACCTCACTTCTGGACTATTACATGTCCATCCTCCGAGCGGCCATGCTTATCTCTTCTGCATCATCCTAACACAAACGAAGTTACCAACCTGTCCCGCATCGTGTCCGCAAGTAACATTCTGTACATAATCCAATCGAAGACGACTGTCTCAACGACTTTCAAATGTACGTAAAATAATAACTTATTATTTTCTGCGTAGTAAGTTACTTATTAGTAGATCTGAATAGGCCTAACGACTTTCCCAGAGTTTAAACTTGTTAGTAAGTTGTTACTGATTACTGAATTATACATTTATGTACATTTTATGTTTAAACTTGTAGTAAGTTACTTATTATTTATGTACATAAAATGTGCATAAATGTATAACTCAGTAATCACTGATCAGTAACAACTTGCTAAAAAAAA